CCCCACCTTAAGCCGGAGGCCACTTCGAGGGGGCTGGGCCCCCACCTCTTGGGGTCGAGGACAGGACAGTGACAGCATTAGCAGCTCTTCCTCAGATTCCCTGGGCTCCTCGTCTTCCAGTGGAAGTCGCCGGGCCAGTGCCAGTGGAGGGGCCCGAGCAAAGACAGTTGAAGTTGGCAGGTCAGTGGGAAGAAATACTTATCTCTGATCTGGCCCACCCTCAGAGCTGCGTTCCTATTATAATCCAAATATTGTCCTCGCAACGACCTCACTTACCCTGGTCTTTCCCAACCCACCTGAACACCCATTTCAGAGAAACCCCAATCCCCGTCCCTAACCCATTGCCCCTTCAGGTACAAGGGCCGCCGTCCCGAGAGTCATGCTCCCCATGTACCCAATCAGCCGTCAGAGGCAGCTGCACACTTCTACTTCGAGCTGGCGAAGACGGTGCTGATCAAGGCAGGGGGCAACAGCAGCACTTCCATTTTCACACACCCATCTTCCTCAGGGGGCCACCAGGGTCCTCACCGCAACCTGCACCTTTGCGCCTTCGAGATTGGGCTTTACGCCCTTGGTCTGCACAACTTTGTTTCTCCCAACTGGCTCTCACGTACCTATTCTTCCCACGTTTCCTGGATTACAGGTAAATCCAATGTTTTGATTTGGGTATGGGAAGGGGATTAATTGATGAAGATAAGAGCTTTTTCCTTTTGGAGTTACTGATCCCATAGGAGAGACACCAATTTCCACTCCCCAGGGGTGCTCATGCTGACACAGCTCTTTTTCTCCTTTCCCCAAGGCCAGGCAATGGAGATTGGCAGTGCAGCACTGACTATACTGGTAGAATGCTGGGATGGGCACCTGACACCTCCTGAGGTTGCATCCCTGGCTGACAGGGCATCACGGGCACGAGACTCCAATATGGTGAGGGCAGCTGCGGAGCTAGCCCTAAGCTGCCTGCCTCACGCCCATGCATTGAACCCCAATGAGATCCAGAGGGCCTTGGTCCAGTGCAAGGAGCAGGTATTTTTACAGGCAATCTGGGGCATCTGGGCAAGGAGTTTGGGCATGGGGAAAGCTGATGGCCCAGCTCTTGATTTCCATATCCTGGAATTCACAAACTAGCCAGTTTGTTCTCTCAGTGGTGACACTTGACATACTGTGGTGGAACTTTGTCCAGCAGGGCCCACCCACCTGTCACGGATGAGAATAATTCTACCAAGGCATTATCTGCTTGGGGAGGAAAGGTGGCCAATCTCTCAAAGGAGAAGGGCCTTAAGCCTGTTCCTCAGTGGGCTTTTATTGGGTTTAATTTGCATAGGGATACAGGGCATATATGTAAAGCTCATCAATCACTGTCAGGCAGTAATGATCAAACAGCAGATAACATTCAAAGAACTCTGAGGGTTATTCTGAGTCAGGGTCAGATAGCCAAAGGGCCATGAAACTGAGAACCAAACCCATTTTGTGCTTGGACCCTTATCATTTAAATTGAGGGCATTCTTAGAAAAGCAGGTTTCACGGGATTTTCTGCATTCTTTCTTAGGCCAGATCACCCCAGGGAACCACCCTCTCCAGCACAGGGCTGCACCCACCTCCACATTGTTTTAGGCTAAGTCAGGTAGGGGATGCGGGCACCCAAGAGATTAGGAAACTTTTTACAAATAGAATGAGCAATCAGGCTATGACAAAGCCAAGGGGTGAGGGTCCATCACCCCTTTTCTATAGTCCCCTCAGCCCTTACCTGAAGGCCCCCTTCAAGACTGTGCCTGTCTTAGGTTGTCCCTCCCTTGAGGAATCTTACCCATCATTGGCTAACCAGTCATCCGCCTGGGGCCAAGCAGGGTGAAGTAAAGGAGGCAGAGGCTGTGCCCCTGCCAGGGAAATAAGCTTTGTCTCCTTAGTGGCTTCTAGTCCCAAGGTCTTTTTACTCAGCCTTAGCCATGGGCGGTTACAGCTTCTGAAACCAGGCAGGGTGGTTCCCAACAACATACTAATGTTCTTTCACAGCTATTAATTCTTTTACCTTACATTTGTGAAGTTAGTTGTTCCTATTTTACAAATAAGGAAATAGAGGCCTGTAGTTTAGGTGCCAGGATGATCACTACAATGGAATGCCAAGAGAAGGCCTCGGGGACATGATGGGGCTTGGTTAGGACGAAGTGGCTAAATTAGTTTGGAACTGGGACTGTAACCTGGGCCTTGACTTCTATGGTCAGCAAGTATTTGTTGTCTGTGTGAAGCTTTCACTGCTCTGACAGAGCATTGGCCCTGACCCCCCGGGAACCAGCCAACTCTGGAGGAGACAGAATGTTATCCTGAGTAAAGCCCTCCCCCCTTAACCTTCTGTCCTCCTCCCTTCCAGGATAACCTGATGTTGGAGAAGGCCTGTATGGCAGTGGAAGAGGCGGCTAAGGGTGGGGGTGTATACCCCGAAGTGTTGTTTGAGGTTGCACACCAGTGGTTCTGGCTATATGAGCAAACAGCAGGTGGCTCATCCACAGCCCGTGAAGGGGCTACAAGCTGTAGTGCCAGTGGGATCAGGGCAGCTGGGGAGGCTGGGCGGGGGCTGCCTGAGGGCAGGGGGGGCCCAGGGACTGAGCCGGTTACAGTGGCGGCAGCAGCAGTGACAGCAGCAGCCACAGTGGTACCAGTCATCTCAGTGGGGTCCAGTTTATATCCAGGTCCAGGACTGGGGCATGGTCATTCCCCTGGCCTGCACCCCTATACTGCTCTACAGACCCACCTGCCCTGCAGCCCTCAATACCTCACCCACCCAGCTCACCCCGCCCACCCCATGCCTCATATGCCCCGGCCTGCCGTCTTCCCTGTGCCCAGCTCCGCATACCCACAGGTGAGACCAGTGTTCTGTTGGGGTGGGTGGGTTGCGCATATGGGAGAACATCAGGAGTTTATGGGGTGTTGGAGTGTGGGGTATTGTGGGAGAATAGGGCTGTCAGGAGTCCTGGATGAGGTGGTGGGAATCTGGGGAACCCAGCCCAACTAAGGAAAGAAATGTAGGGATACCCATTTGTGGGATGAAAGGGGAGAGTTACATCCTAATGTAATTTTGGTATCTCCCTTTTCTTCCTTTTTCTGTCTCTAGGGTGTGCATCCTGCATTCCTGGGGGCTCAGTACCCATACTCAGTGACTCCCCCCTCACTTGCTGCCACTGCTGTGTCTTTCCCTGTCCCTTCCATGGCACCCATCACAGTACATCCCTATCACACAGAGCCAGGGCTCCCACTGCCCACCAGTGTGGCCTGTGAGTTGTGGGGACAGGGAACAGGTGAATGGAGGGGAGGTACACTGGGCAGGGGAGGTAGGGAGGGAATTCCCTCTGCCCTTCTTTGGACTGAGTTCCTCACATGGCTCTCATCCCTCAGTGAGCAGTGTCCATCCAGCATCCACATTTCCAGCCATCCAGGGTGCCTCATTGCCTGCCCTGACCACACAGCCCAGCCCTCTGGTGAGCGGAGGTTTTCCACCACCCGAAGAGGAGACACATAGTCAGCCTGTCAACCCACACAGCCTACATCACCTGCACGCTGCCTACCGTGTTGGTGAGAGGAGGTCCCTTTCTGTACCCCCACCTGCAGTTGTGCCAGAGGCTTTTCAGTGATAACCACCTCCCATAGTTCTTAATTTGTTTACCTTGGGGTCAGGTACCACGTTAGAGGGTGGAGAATATACCCACACTGTGTGCCCACTCTTTTCTCCCAGGAATGCTGGCACTGGAGATGCTGGGTCGCCGAGCACATAATGATCACCCCAACAACTTCTCCCGCTCCCCCCCCTACACTGATGATGTCAAATGGTTGCTGGGGCTGGCAGCAAAGCTGGGTAACACCTCCCCTCCCTAGGACCATTGTCCACCCCCACCTGCTTCCCCCACCTTCCTATCCCAGACCTACTTCCTAGCTCTTGCTCAGAGTTGAGGCCTTGGTCGGGTATGTGTGCGTGCGCGGGGGGTGGGGGGGCTGCCTCAGCTCCTGGGGTGGAGGGAAACTCTCTGCCAGGCCAGAGCTGAGAGAAAAGTTGGGTCCCTAGGGCAGAGGTGGCCACCCCCGTCTCATGCCCCTCCCCCTGCCCCCCAGGAGTGAACTACGTGCACCAGTTCTGTGTGGGGGCAGCCAAGGGGGTGCTGAGCCCGTTTGTGCTGCAGGAAATCGTCATGGAGACACTGCAGCGGCTGAGCCCTGCTCATGCCCACAACCACCTGCGTGCCCCGGCCTTCCACCAGCTGGTGCAGCGTTGCCAGCAGGCATACATGCAGGTGACAACCCAGGAAGTGTGGAGCAGGGTGGAACACCTCCTGGGCAGGCATGGAACAGATCACTCAGCATGCAAGGGCAGAGGGATCTGGTTCTGTGTTTAGCAGCTCATCCTGCACACATCCTCTTCCAGTACATCCACCACCGCTTGATTCACCTGACCCCTGCCGACTACGACGACTTTGTGAATGCGATCCGCAGTGCCCGCAGCGCCTTCTGCCTGACACCCATGGGCATGATGCAGTTCAACGACATCCTGCAGAATCTCAAGCGCAGCAAACAGACCAAGGAGCTGTGGCAACGGGTCTCACTCGAGATGACCACCTTCTCTCCCTGAATCTGGCCTCCCTACGGCCCTATACAGGGACACAAGCCTGTGGCTATGGGGGCCTCTCACACAGGGGGAACTTGGCTGGACAGATCATCCCCACCCAGTTCCCTGGTAGCCCAGACTGGCAGCTGCTCTTGGGCTGTAGTTTGGGGCCAAGATGTCTCAGACCCTAGAAACCTAGGGTTGGGGGAAACAGCCCCATCTGGGAGGGGGTGTTGGGTGGCCCCTGGTATTTATTTGGCATTTATAAATATATAAACTTTTTTACTCTAATCTGCTTGGGCCTTTCCCTTCTTTCCCTCTATGAGTTTATGAACCTTGAACTGGGGCAGGGGAAAAGTCTGACACTTGCTTTATTATAGGGCTTTCCCACTCCAGTGAGGTAGACAGAACAGAAAAATAAGGATGTTTATTAAGGACATTTCTAGCCCATAGCTAGGGCTCATACTCAGCTCTATGAGCCACTGTTAGGCCTCGTCCGCATTCAATGTGAATGACATTAGGGAGGCCGGGCCACAGGTAGATCCCATTATTCCCACAGTAAGGGGTCCCTCCCACAGCCAGATACAGCTACACTCTGGGGATGAAGAGGTAAATTATTTGATTAATATGTTCCTCTAGACCCTGCCTCTAATTCCTCCCCACCTTCCAAGACCATGAGTCAAAGGTGGCTAGTACCATAATGTGGGGTGTGAAAGGAAGCCCCTTTATCAGACCTCAGAGCAATGGGAAAGAGGACTTTCCCTTCTCAGCCATTCCAAGCCTGGGGGCCACTGAGGTAGAAGGGGGAGGGGCCAGGCCACTCAAATTCCCCTTGTGGGCTCTGCTCTGGGCTTGCCCCCTAGGGAAATGGGCTCTTTTTTTTTTTTTGCTGGTATGGAGGCTGGGACATCATCCCAGACTGGAATGCTGCAGTTCTTCCCGAAGCCATGAGGGCATTGGCTGTCCAAGCCGGCTCAGGAGCTCTGACAGCTCCAAGTTGTGGTTCCGGAAAAAATCCATAAGGAAAAGGCGGGACTGATAGGAGAAAAATGAAGGCAGAAACAGTAAGGAGTGGGACACAGAATCAGATCTTACAGGTGGAGAGAGAGAACCTGCCCCAGAATTTACATACCTCGGTGTCCATATCTGGGTACCTCCGACCTTTGCTCTTGCCTAGACAGCGAGTCTTACCACCTCCAAGTCCCTGGCACCAGAATCCCTTACCTTCATCAAACCTGCTCAATAGGAAGAGACCTTTAAGGGGCAGGTAGAAAAGGAATTCAAGCCCCAGAAATGCAGACTACCTCTCCCAGCCCACAGGGACCTATATCTCTCTTTGAGAGACAGGGTAAATTCGTGTCTCTTCCAGACAGACATGGTCAATGTGCTTCCCATTTTCCCCATGGTCCTCCTCTCCTAGGTCGTGCTCTCCCACCTGAGGGTCCGTGTGTAGTTCAGAAAGGGTGTGATACCCAGGAACTTCTGGATGCTCTCCATTGAAGCAGCTGGGTTGGTACGGAGCTCTTCCCCATCCATAATCAGCAACTAGGGACAGGGATGTGGTTACTGCTGTATTTCTTAGAAGCCTCTTATCTAAAGGAAAGAGGAGGGTAAGGAGGACCCCAGTGAAGGATATTGGGGGATTGTACCTGTCCAGAGGGGTAGTAAGTCAGCCAGCGTTGCAGATGGGTAGAATAGTAGCCAGGGACAAGACAGCGGTTTTGCAAGGAACGAAGTGCCAGAGGGGCCTGGGAAGAGGCTGAAATCACTTGGTAGAAGGTGTAGTTCAGAGCAGCTGGGTCTCCATGTGCTCGCTGGTGCTGAAAAACAGGAAAGGAAGAGAAGAGATTGGTGACTTGACAATTATTTGGCCCTACTCTTGGTCTGATAAACATATAGCATAGGCACACCTCCCCAAGGCACCAGTTTAACTTCCCTACCCTTATTCTGTCTCTCTAGCAGTCACCACCTCCCTCCTTTAAGCCCTAATGTGTGAGCTTCAGGCTCACCTGGTACCAAGAGTAGGCCCTGTCAGCAGGGTTGGTGAGCACAGTGATGATCTTGGCTCGTGGTAAGAGGGCAACACCCCGCCGTGGTACAACTTCTGAGTCAAAGTAGGTGGCACTTTTTTCAAATAGAAAGTCAGTGCTAGCATTGGAAGGGACAGGGAAAAAATCCATGTACCTAGGAAGTAGCACAGAAAAGAGGCAAAATTAAGGGGTCAGATGTCTGTGCAATGGAAGCTGTAATAGGATACCTTGGGGGAAGGAAGTGTTCCTCTGAGAAGCATTCCAAGGAGTCCCAATCTCACCAGTCAATGCCCTTGTGGTAATTAGGGCCATTGAAGAACTGAATTTCCTCAAAGGTGCTCGGGCTAGGGAAGCTGCTGGTCACAGCTGGGTGCAGGCTCAGGAAGAAGTGAATAGCTGTGGTCCCTAAATAGGAAAGAAAGTCCAGCCCTTGTGGGAGAGAATCTAGCTCAACATGAGCTTGAAGGTGAGAAAATAACCACTCTGGGTAGTAAAATACCCTTTGGCCAAATTGCAGCAAGAGAAGGAAATTGTGAGAGATACCAGGAAAGGTTCAAGTAGGGTTCTCAGCCTTGATTGCATCAGAATCACTTGTGGTTCTTTTACTTATTTTTTTATTGATTTTAAAGAGAGAGAGAAACACCAATTTGTTGTTCCACTTATTGATGCACTCATTGTTTGAATCTTATATGTGCCAACTGGGGATTGAATTCACAACCTTAGGGTATCAAGATGATATTCCAATAAACTGTGCTACCCAGTCAGGGCCATTTGTGAATCTTTTTTTTTTTCTTTCCACCGTGTCCCAGGACAGCTGTGTTACCCTTGACAGGTCAAGGCAATCCCAGTACTCTGGAATGTTTCTGTGGCAGACAAAAAAACATTTGTGGATCTTTTAAAACAAAAATTTCATAAATGATTCTGATATACAACCAGGGTTAAGAATCACTGTCTCAAGAGACTGGATTAATATGGGGTGGGTGTGAGAAGGGAGTTCCTTAGCCCAAGAATCCTTTAGGTTTAAGGCAGGGCAAGAGAAACTGGCTAAGGATGATTCACCTGTCTTTTGGGGTCCTACAATGAGGAACTTGGGGAGTCGATCACAGGTTTTCTCCTTGGACCAGATATCTTTGTGCCTCTTATCATCACAGGGATTCTGAAGGTGAAGCCAAGAATCAGACAAGACCTACTCTTTTCTTCAACGCAGAAGAAACCCTCATCATGTCTCTTGTCAGCCCGAGTTCCACCCATACCTGCCAAAGGGGACTTCGCTCTTGAGGGAAGAGTTCAAAGTACTTTTGTGCAAGAGGGACAGGAGGAAGGGTCTGTAGGTGCAGCCGTGTCCAGCACTGGAGGAAGCGCACCAGGCTCTCAAAGGTGTACAGACCCAGTCGATCATTTCCATAGTTGGACAGATGGGTCATAAATATGCTGATCTGCAAAAGGATGCCTGCATGTCAGAGTTGGAGAGCCTACCCATCTCAGAATCAGGATTGGTAAGCAAAGGTCCCAGCCTGCAAATACTTTGACTCTACAATCTTCTGGCCCTTCCTATTGGCACCTTACTGGATTAAGCAGCACTGTCAGGAAGAGCTCTCCACCTCGGATGCTCCGATCTAGTTCATGAGAGCCTCCAGGATACTCATTATAGAAGATTGTGTGAGTGAAGAGACCACATGTCTGCCGTGGCAGCACCTGGAGGGAAAAGAAGAAACAGGGATAGATGAGATTTGAAAGGTAAAATGATGGTCCAGAGGCATAGGATTCCCTGGGTTTGTGGAGGATTCAGTCTGAAGTTATAGCAAGAAAACTCTTGCTATGTGCATTATGACTTTTCACCCTCCTACCCCATTATGTGGATGAACTGGACTGGAAGTTGACAGAACTTAGATCAGTGCAGGCTGGAGACTGTTAAAATGTGGGGGTTCAAGTTTGTATTGGGAGTCCCTTACCATAATACCATTGTGAATGAAGCCACGGCGGTAGCGGGCAGGGCGGAGATGGGGATACTCCTCAGTGCTGGTCACCTGGATGCCCCACACAGATTTCCAGGCTTCGTAGAGCTGCGTATGGACGGGGTACACGCCCGAATGGTGGGGAGCCACAGCATACCCCAGATCCGTGGGAATCCCATGCTCCTGGGAATTGCATAGACTCTCACCAGGACCTGGTGAGGTTTGGGGAATAGAGGGTAAAGGGTGGGGATGCCTCCACAGAGGGAAAAATGGAAAGGGTACCCCATGAGGGGAAGGTTAAAAAGAAAGCATTATCTCTGGGAGAAAATATGGGGAAGAGATCCAAGGGTCTCACCAAAGCAAACTGTTTGTTGAGCCTCATTTGGTCAGCCAGCACGGAGCGATTGTGGAACAGGTGTGGCTGCATGTGGCTCCACATGTGTGGGAACCACCAGAACTCTTCACGGTGCTTCAGCAGCATGTCGTCCCCTGCATCCTCCTCCTCTGTCCCTATGACCACACACTGACCACTGAACACAGCCAGTTAGCTCGTGCCCTCCACTGTTCTGTAACAACACTGACCACCTTCCATCCCTGGACAACATCTGCCCATCGAAGACTGCCTGTCTGCCTCCTTGTCACCTTACCCTCCAGCCACCCATGCCAACCAAAATTCATACCCACTATTAGCTCCTCACAGCATCCTGACCACAAATCTTGCTCCTTTTCTCTGATTTGTCTACCCAGGGAGATGGGACAATGAAAATACAGATCAAACTAAGCTGATATGCTGAAGGAGCAGGGGGATAAGCTCACCAGTATGATAGAACTTGCCCGAGAAGCCCAAGTTGAAGGTGAAGTTGGGGACTAAGGTCCTGAGTTTGTTCTGGGTGGTCAACAGAGCCTGGGAAGAGTAGCAGGAACACAAGAAATCAGGAGATAGCAGACTGAGCAGGAGAAAAATGAGTAGTGTTCTTCCTACCTGGAAAGGGCAGAGTATACCTATGGCAAGCTCAGAATCAAGGAAGGGAATCTCATAGGTTAGAGCTTGAAATAATTTCTAAGGAAAAAGACTGACCTCAACATCAGCCACCTTCATGCGGGTACCTTCCTTGCCCACAAAGATGTCATCAATGTCTACCAAGATGTAGCGTTCAAAGTCCAGGCAAAGGCGCTTGCCAGTGAGGTACGCAACGGCATCAACAAAAATAAGTTTGTGGAGCCAGAAGGAAAGGCCGTGGCCAAAGAGCACCCGCTGGATGCCATCATGAAGCCCCAGGTCCTGTACCACAGTGGGAAGCCGTGCCCGGCGAGGCACTGGTCCTGGCACAGGGAGCTCAGCTGACTGAAGGCTGGCAAGAAGCACTGGTTCATATGTGCTATGATTGGATTGAAAAATGGTCCAGTCATCACCAGGCAATGGCCCAGGCTCTAGGCGGCTAGGGCGTGTGAGATGCAGTAGGGGGGCAGAAGGATTCACTTGGTAGTCCCGGAGCCCCAGGTTTGAATAAAGAAAAAGGGGAAAGCCCTTGAGCTGGGCACTCAGTAGGCTATGCTCATGGGCTCGGAAAAAGCCAATGATGCCCACACCATACTCCACACAGTAACGGTCTAACAGTTCCCGACTCCAGGCATCCAGGTTGACATACTTGAGCAGGTTCTCATAAATGACCAAGACATAGCGGCCACGGGTATGATCAGTCAGCGTGGGCATGTCCCCTCGGCCAGGTGCCAGCTCAGTGCTATAACGAAAACGACTGGACTCCAAGATGGCCACAATCTCCTGCCCCAGCTGTGAGTATGCACTCTCCACAAACACAAGGATCACAGGTTCGGTTCGAGCTGTCTCTGGAGGTCTGGGAGGCCGAGGTGGGACCGGAGGCTGTACAGGGCCAGGGCCAGCTGCCCCGCTACTGCTGCAGTCTCCCAGGGGTAAGGGCAAGGGTTCCTTGGCCTTGGGGCTGGTGGATACGTAGTAAGCCAGGAAGCCCATGGAGCCCAAACTGAAAGCAATTAGCAACAGTATGAGGCGATGCAGTTCCAGCTGCCGAGCTGGGCGTACCACCTTCCACAGCTTGAGCATGGCGGGGGAGGGGAGGCAGGGATGGGGACTACCTCAAGGGATGGGAGGTAGGAGTTCTATAGGCTAGGGCTCTCTTGGGAAGGTAGAAGGATAGGAAAATAGGGGAAAGGGATTCCCTTAGGATCAATTCCCCAAAGAGGCTGAGACAAATTCCCTTAGAGTAGGGTAGGGGAGGTAGAAAGGGCAACAGAGGGCAACTGGACAGAGTCCATTTTTATCAGGTCACCATGGCCCCCTGGCCCATAGCTTCAGGATGCAAATCCAGTCAGGCTCCACCCTTGGTCCTGTTTGAGCTCCTCACATAAGAGGTCAACAAAGTTCACAATCTCTATGCTTCCTATCTGTAAGACAGGAAAATTGAAAGATTATTTCTCTCTTTGAAACTGTGTCATTAATCCATTACCCTCTTCACCCCATCCTCTTACCTTCCGCTCACAGGATGATTTGTTCTCCAAAAACAGAAAGTTCCTGTAGAAAAACAACACAATCTGAGTCTCATACTTTAGCCTCAGAGGTTGTTCCTCTTCTCAGAATACTGTCTAAATTCTCCTCCCTGAGCTAAGCTCAAGTTGGAAAAGTATATTCAAGGGCTGGAAAGAACAATTCTCCCATCAACAAGAAACCAAACAGCCCAGGAAACTGAAAATGAACCTGCTCTGAAAGGAGTTTCCAGCCCATGACCAAGCAGTTGGCCAGTCAGCAGATCTAGTCTTCTTGTGGGGAACAAACAGAAAGCCCCAGAAGTCCCATGCTCCAACGAAATATCAGATAAGAGGAAACTCATGAGCCTGTTAATCTTCTTCATCAATCAAACCCAACACCACTGGCTAACAGCATTAACAAACTTATAGTCAGGTGGACACTATGGTGGTGGTGGTGGCGGGGCGGGGGGCGGGGAGATTCAAGAGGAAAGAGAAATGGTGCTAGCTAATCATTCTATTAGCTTCCAAACCCAGAAATTGGGGACTGTCTTTTCCATTGCTTGTGAAAAATTATTTATCCTCTGCCTTTCATTTCACCCATGCCAGTGTCAAGAGAGATGATAAAAATGTAGCCCCATAGTGGGTCACATCATTGGAACCTAACAAAAGCCAGAGAGCTGAGTCCAGAGTCTCCCCATCCATCCCAGTTCTCCTTCCTAGCTTAGCCTACGTGGTACTATACCCTCATCCATTAACAGCTCAGGAGAAGTCCTCAGCTAGCCTGGAGATACATGAGGGATTGAGTCCTGTTATAAAAACAGAGAAAACTGAGTGGGGCTAGATGAGAGAGAGAAATTAAGTCATATTCAACCAATGAGAGAGAGAGAAGCAGGTCAGTGTGATTGGGAGACAGTTGTAAGGATACCTAATTTTGGAGACTTTTCTTAAACAGATCAACTGCTTCTACAAGCTTTATGGTAGCTTTCCCCATCTTAGCTACTCTTAGTAAGGCCAGTGTCTGGCAACTCCTCTCAACTCCCAGACATACACATCTCAGGGGTGATTAGGAGAGACAGGGTCTTTCAGGGCTGAGAGAGATGATTTAAGAATAGTTCAGCTTTGGCCTGGGTGAAACTACCAGTAATTGACATGAAAAAGAGCACCGGGAGGGGATGTAAATGGTGATGGAAAGGGGTGAATCCTAAGAATTAGACGAAACTCCTTGGAGAAAACACAGTAGTGAGAAGTCACTGTGGGGAAGTAGACACTTGGGGCAAATTAAGTATAATAAGGTAGTTAACATTTATTGAGAGTTTACTCTTTGCGAGACATTCTTCTAAGAGCTTTCTATATATTTAATGGTCACACCAGCCCTAAGAAGTAGATACTATTATTATCCCCATTTTACATGAGTAATTTGAGGGTCAGAGAAGTTTAGTAACTTGCCCAGGATCACACAGCTCAGACAGTGGAGGAACTGGGATTCAAAGTCAGGCCTGTCAAGCTCCATAGCCCGAGCTCTTAACCACTGCATTTTACCTTCATACCTAGAAGAAACAGCCATGTTTAGGGAAGGGATGCTGAGGGAGCCACTGGGGTAGGGTGTGGTGTGGGGTGATGCATATGTAAGTAGGAACAGGGGACGGAGGGAGGTGCTGTACGTGCGAGCAGCAGTGGGAGGTTTTTGAGGGAGAAACCGAAAGGGTCATCCAGGCCTGGGCTGGAGGACAGCGCTATGACAGAGCCTGAGGAAGGCGGGGGTGTGGGCCCCGCACTGGAAGAGAAGCAGAAGCTGTGGGAGGAAGGGGTACCGAGCGGCGACACGGCGACACGGGCATGGGGGGCTGGCACATCGGGTCACAGACGGAGGGACCCTGCTGGGGGGCATATGGGGTCACAGGTGGATATAAGGAGAGCACCGGATGTGGAGCATTAAAGGGGAAGGGGAAGAGGCAAGAGGCGTGCACAGAAGAGTCCCGGCTAAGGAGGAAGGACTGGGCTGGGAGAACCCGAGGGGAAGAGGAGCCCCGTACTGAGGGGCAGACCAGAGGGAGCGAAGGCACTACGAGGAAAAGGACTCCGGGCGTGGGCAGCGCAGGGCCGCGCGAGGGGCCGCCCGGGGCGACGCTGTGGGTGGTTATGAGGGTAACAGAGGGAAAGTCTGTGAGGGGAGGAACTGCGGGCGACCGCTTGTGGGGTGGTATCCTTAAGGGTGGCTCACCCGGCGGACTGGGCGGCGTCCCCGCTGACCCCGGGCTCCGCCGCGTCCCGGGGCTGCCCCGCTTCCCTGATTTCGGGGCCTCGGGCCGCGTCGCTGCGGCTCCGCCATCTCCGAGCGAAAGCTCCGCTGCAGCCGGGCCCAACCACCGCTCCCACTGGGGGGAGGCGGCGCGCTGCCGCTCGAGGTGTCCACTAGGTTTCCCGCCGCCTCTGGGTCGGGCCGTCGAGCGGCCGATGTGCCGGGCAGCCGGACGGCCCTCTACAGCAATCAGCAGAGCCTCGGCCGCGGAGTCGGCGGGCTCCGAGCCCCACCCGCAGAAAGGAACCCCCTCCTCCCTACAGCTTGGCACAGTCTGAGGAGCGTCGGACGGACGCCTGGGCTCACCAGAGGAGGCGGGCCCAGGGTACGGGCTGGTCCACTCAGCCCTACCGAGGGGGAGCGGGCCCGGCCCACTGATAGATGGAGGGGGGCTGGAAAGGGGGCGGGAAGGGGAGGCCCTTGGCGCAGGCCCGAGGGCGGGGCGAGACCCGTAACCCACCAGGGGCCCAACTTCTTGCCACCCCAAACTTGCCTCCAGCCCGGCGAGCTGCGTGGGGGCTGATAAATTTAGGAAATTTCATCCCAAAATGGGCCCAAAGGGAGTGGGGGAAGGTACATCTCTCCATCTGAAACCTTGTAACTTAGGCTGCTAAAATCTAAAATCTAAGCCTCCAACAGCAGTAACAACAATGGACGGTTTAAAGGTTATTTTATTAAATATCTTCAGTTCAAGGTTTCATTGTAACAAAGCTATTAAGGGTCTACCAACATTCAGAACAAACACTAACTATTTTTAAATTATTTCTATGTCATCATGCAAAAATTCTGCATCAAATGCCTTCCATTTCCTGTTTAAAAGGTGTTGTTTTTTAAATAGTCTATTGACTATAGATGCTGACAGTAGCCCCAGAAGAGTAAGAATGCTAAGAAGTGGGGCTGGAGCAGCCATATGAAGCTATGGGTCTTAATGAACTCTAAGACCATTTGTCTTCAAGCCAGCAAAACCAAACCCTGTGGTGAAGGCGTCTGCGTGCTGGTACTGCAGGCTGCAGGGCAGGAAAAGGCCAGGGCCCAGGGCTGGGGCATGCATGAGGTGCTCGGAGGAGCCTGGCTAAATCCAAGCACCAGCACCTGTGAGTTTGCTCTCTTCTCAGCTGGCTCCAAGGAAAATCTGTAGCTTTGCCTCCTGAAGGTAGTCCAGGCAGCTGGGGTCTACCCACCTGTCCCCCCCAATAGTGCAAATATTTGCACAGAGAAGTTTGCAGTTGTTTTGGGGAAACCAAGGTCATGACCAATTGTTCCTCCATTATCTTCTCTGCTATCTGCTTAGAGTATAGACCTTTCCCTCCTGGAATGGAACTCCTTGAGCATAGAGAGGGACAATGAATGTAAGTAGGAGTCTTGGCTCTGGATACCTCTTTTGGGTTCATGCAGGTGGTGGTGTGGGGGGTGATGTCCATGCAGACTGTCCAGCAGGAAGTCTATACTTCAGTTGGTCAGTAAAGAGACCTCTTAAAGAGGATACCTCTTCTTGCCAAAGCAGTTGGGTCAATCTCAAAAACAGGAAAAGAGATGGACGTGCAGCAAGGGAATAGTAAGAAGGGAGACAGCCATCGGGGCAGCCTGAATGCATAGACAACCATCAACTCAATCCCGCTGCCTCACTCCTCCCATCCCACAGGGGCACTTGGCAGAGGGCCCAGGCCCAGATGAGGGTCAGCACGGGACCACCACCATGAAAAGGCAAGACAAAGATGGTCCAAATCAGCACAGAAACAGAACTGCCAAAGGCAGCAAAGGGAGCCCTGACCAGGGTCTGGCTCTCTCCTTGCTAAGTTTTAAGAAAACAAACACAAAGCAAAGCGCAAACCCTCCCCCTTTCCCTCTGCAGGGATTGGGCCTTAATATCAGGGCCCACGTGCATTGTGCATCCTATAGAAATGGATGAGTAAGTGAGTACATGTCAGACTAACACGAGGCTTTTCATCGGCTTCGTAGCGGACACACTTCTGCAGCACCAATTCTCTTCCTTTCTATGCTAAATGGAACAGTACAGCAATATCCGGGCCCTTAGTCCTGAGGCCACAGCTTCTCAGCTTCCTCCACAGAAGGCTGGGAGCTCTGCGTTTTTCTCCCAAGTAGGTCTGATGGCCACGATGTTCTCATCAGCCTCATTCTAGGTGCCTATGTAAATTCTGAAGAAGTCCATTCCTAGCCCTGGGGCAGGCAGGCCACCTCAGGGGCTGCAATCACATCACGGCCCCCAAAGTTTTATCAGAGTTCTTGCCTGGTCTCCTAAGTCCATGGAGGCCAGAGGCCAAGCTCACCTCTTCAGGGCTGGTGAGTGAGCCTCGCTGCTCATGCCAGGGTGGTCGTCACACAAACTCCTGCCTTCTTGCCAGCCCAAGGGCTATTGGTGGTTTTAAAACGCATCATGGTATGGATTCCATTTTTTTTAAAACAATCTTTTTTCTTTTTTTTTTTCCTTAAATGTAAAAAACACCTCAGTACAGCAGAGACAGACACGAAGGGCGGGTGGGAGGGCTGCATGCAGGGGCGTGCATTGGCTGCTGCCGCTTTGTAATTTAATTGTTTTAAACCTCGAACGAACAGGACTGCCGCTCGCTGTCACTCAGGCCCTCCAGAGCCACTGGCTGCAAAGGTTCGACCTCCAGCTGGGATCTCCTAATGCCCCTGTCAAACAGGACAGACATGGTAACAGAACAGAGGACAATAAACACACAGATGAGTTCCAGGAACTTAAACACACTACACACATGGCCAACTCTGCCTGGGAAGGTGGAGGATGGGGGAGAAGCTAGTATTTAAATATAACAATGTCTCACATTTGCTGAGCATTTACTAAATGCTTTACTTATTAAGTACCTTATTTAACTCACAGAAGTAATGAGATAGGCACCATTTTTACCCTCTTTTTGACAGCTGAGAAAACTGAGGCTTAGGGAAAGGAAGAAACCCAATTTGGATTCCTGGAGCTAGACCCGAGTCTGATTTAAGGGCATAACTTGTTACAACCACAGCTTAGCCCTTGCTGCTCCTCTAGGGTGGCCCATACCTCCTCCCCCAATGCCAACTCTCAGCTGACTCTTCCTCCTCTGACCCCACCTGTCCCAGCCCCTCCCCACACCCCCACCAGGTGCACCTGTGGCTGAGCTCACTGCAGCGGTGCAGCAGGGGCCCCTGAGCAGTGATAGTGGACATTGAGCCACTTGCCATCCCGGCGGTGCCAGACCCGGGTCTCCTCCGACTGGCTGGTTCGAGGCCGGCCCTGCCCATCGATGTACTGGGTGAGGCGGATATAGGCGATGCAAGCTGCGTCCTCTCCGATCACATGGACGTGTGGGTTCAGGATGGTGGTATGAATGGGCTTGCTGTTCTTGGACAAGACTGCAGGGGGCAGGGTGGGTTGGGGTAGGCAGGAGTCCGTCAGGCCTAAGCACCGACATTTTCCTCCCAGCCTGCACTTTCAAGTCTCCCCTCACCCCAGCAGCCATTCCGGGAGTCTCCAAAGCCCCCCATACACCTTCCAGAGGTTGAGAAACCTCATCACATTAGTCTCGGTTATCCAAAAGGAAGGGAAAGGTGGGGAACAATGATAACAGTAGATACTATTTTAATCGAACATTGTGCTGGGGGTCTTACATGCATGAGCTGTATTCTTTGGTTGATACTATTTTCTTCATTATAAGACAAGGAGACAGGCTCAAGGAGGTTAAGTAATTTCCCCAGATCACACAACATTTGAGCTCAGGGCCATTTTACTAAAGCTTATGATCTTTCTGCTCTGCTAGGCTGATGTTTAGGTTTCATACATGTTAGCTTGTCCCCAATTAGGGCTCTAGAGCAAAATCAACAACTAACAATATTCAAAATTGATCTGTGATTTAAAAAAAAAGTCCAAAGTTAAAATAGAATCATCAAAGCACCAAGCTTAGGATATTCCTAGAGTTCCCAGGATCCTCTGGGGGAAAGTCAAGAGATTGCCATTATCAGCAAACACTGTGAATTGTGTTACTTTTATTGAGATTCACATCTTAGTTCAATTCAAATGGTAGATCGGGGCTACAGGAAACCTTCCCTAGAGCTTCTATAAAATCTGGAATTGCTTCTGGATAACAGAATTACTTAGATGGCCTAGGGTTTACATTTGCAGCTCAGACATGGAGAAGATTTAGTTAGAGAAAACAGTGACAAAATAAAATTTAGGGTATAATGGGGAAAGCCCAGGACAAAGTGGAAAGGAAAAGAAAAAATAAGGGGTAGGGAGGGTCTTAGAGAGTGGAGAGAAAAAGGAGGTGGATATTTAGTTTTTTATCCCCTGGGACTTCCACGAACAGCCCAGTGTACCCTCCCAGTCCCTCGATGTTCAGGGAGACCCTAGCCATCACTTCCAACTTCACAAGTCACTAACAGTGCCCTGTTGCTGGCTTGCACATTCTTATTCTGGCTTTAATTTTCTCTGCTGTGACATCTGTAGACACGGAGCTTCATTATTATCTGCTGAGATCATCTCAACCTCATCTCAATGGTTTCCAATCATCTTGGAAGGAGATAAGGCTTAAAAAAAAATGCAGTGACCCTGACAGTGGCAACCAGCACTGCCACAAGGCAGCTGCAGAGCAAAGGGGCATGTGGGGTTCTGGGGCTGGCAGGGCCTTCAGAGGCGCTGTTTAGGACCATTTTCAGAGCACAAGGAGGCAAGCACACAGACCAGGGTGCGGCAGGCAGGTCAAATAAGAGAAAAATGGGCAACAGGGAAGAGGAGGGGTGAGCAGGGACAGAGGCAAAGGAGGTGAAGGGGCAGGCAGGAGTATATCAGCAGCACGAACCCACTCACGATTCTCAAAGTAAAACTTATGGAAATCCATTCCCTCCACAAGGTTACCAAGGGCTTCGGGCTCAAAGGAAGTGAGGCCTGGATCACAAATTTTCCTACAGAAAAAAAAAAAAAAGTAGCCTGTCAGGGAATTATTTGTCTGTCTTCCTCATCAGTGGTGTCTGTCCTACAGCAGGTTAGCGGTGGGCTAGGCCTGACAAGGTGGTTAAGATCTTGGTCTGCTGGATGGGCCTCTTGGTCCTGTCCTTTCAGCCCACCGCCAGGACACCTTGGGCAGGCCCGCTCACAAGCTATCTACCTAGAAGGGCTCCCAGCCTAGTGGCCTGGTATTGAACTCACACCCTGTGCTCAAAGCCCAGCCTTCCTTTTCCCCAGGGTCTGAGTTGCTTTTGGGGAGGAGGGAAAGGCCTTGAGAAACTTGAGTCGGAATTGGGTCTCT